CTCAGCACTCTCAATACATCGTGCCACTCCCTTCTGACCAGCAAAGTTTCTGCTTAAAAGTCTGCTCCTGGTCCTATGGAGATGCCCTCGTATTAATTTTGACAATTTAATTAGAATGTTCTCTTTGGATTCATCTTTTCTGGAGTTCTCTGGGCTTCTTAGTTAGGGAAGATTTCAACTATCATTACTTTGAATAAGCTTTCTGCCCCTTTCTCTTTTCCTTCCGGGACCTCTATAATACAGATATTGATGGTACCCCATAAGTCCCTTATGCTGTATTTACTTTTTCATTCTTTTTTTCTTTTTGCTCCTGATTGCATGAATTCCACTTTGAGTTTGCTGATCCTTTCTTCCACATGATCTATGCTGCCATTGAACCTTTCTACTGAACTTTTCCAGTTGTTAGTGTATTCTTCAGTGCTGTGATTTCTCTTTAGTATTCTCTTGTATTTTCAATGTCTTTGTTGAAATTCTCACTTTGCTATGCATTATTCCCCTAGCCTTGGTGAGCATCTTTATTATTTCCACTTATTTAAGGAAAACCACTTATTTCTAGTTCATTGAAGTCTGTTTCTGGAGTTTTATCTTACACTTTTATTTGGAACATAATTCCTCTGTTTCTTTACTGTCCGAGTCTCTCTGTGTTGGTTTCTGTGCATTACATAAAGCAGCCACATCTCCCTGTCTTGACCTAGGTGGTCTCATGTAGGAAATGAACCGTCGTTCAGCCCACTGAGCTCTTGGTTATCTCCTATCTCCTTTGTTTGTAATGGCTCCCAGTAGCTGAGGGCCCTGCAAGACCAGTGTTCCAAGGGGGAGGACCTCAGTCCACACCCAGATGCAGGCTGATTGGAAGCTGGGTTCTCAGGCAGCAGCTTTTTTTTTTTTTTTAAATCCTCACCTGAGGATATTTTTCCATTTATCTTCAGATAAAGTGGGAGGGAGGGAGGTGAAGAGGAGGGAGAGAGAAGAGAGACAGAGACAGACAGACAGACATAGATTGGTTGCCTCCTGCACAACCTGACAGAGGCCAGGGACCAAACCACAACTGAGGTACATGCCCCCTTGACCAGAATCGAATCTGTGATTCTGTGGTCTGCAGGCCGACACTCTAACCGCTGAGCTAAACTGGCCAGGGCTCAGGCAGTAGCTTTTAAAGAACGCAAAATAGACCTCCTTCACAGAAAGACTGGGGGATGAGTATTTCTGCCTGACCCCTATGCAGAACTGTTCATTTGCTCAAGCCCTATGGGACCCAAAAAACACAAGCCCCACTGACCACTAGAGCCTGGTGATCCAGGGGTGTGTTCCTTGGTCATCAGTCACCAGGCATGTGCACACGTTCCTTCCAGGGACAGATACTGGTGACCTGGAGTGGCTGAGGGAGAAGGTGGAGATGACACCCACTGGTCTCACAGTCACCCTCTAAGTGTGTTGAGTTAGAAGCTTGACCCTCAGACAGCTTTGAAGGTATGTAAACAACCCTCCTTCAGGAAAAGGAAAGCCCCCCTCTGCCGCCTCCGCAAGGAGCCCTGGAGTGGGGACAGCCACGGGGAGTCCTCGCAAGCCTATTGAGAACTGTTTCTTTCTCTGCTGGAGTCTTGTGGGTCTGTGGACACAAGCCCTGTCAACTTTCAGAGCTGGGAGACCGTCCTTTGGGTGGAAGTCTTAGGTAGGGTGAGGGATGAAGCTGAGAACTGTTTCCTCCCAGTTACATCTCACTGTGCTGATGGGTTTATGGTACAAGTATGTCTCAGCCTTTCTACCCATTTTGACTTGGGCGTTTTCTCGTTCACGCAGTATGTAGGCGTTGCTCAGCCAGTTTCTGAATTTCTTTCAGAGGGAACTGATCTGTGTGCAGCTGTACATTTGGTGTCCATGGAAACAGGTGAGTTCAGGAGCCGCCTCTGTCACCACCTTGGAGCAGAACTCTTTAAAATGCTATCATCTAATAATCACAGATGTTAACATATGCTGAAGTCTAAATTACAGATGTATGTGTGACAAAACCCATTCATGCCTGGAAAATGTGTTCACCTCCAGGCGCTCTCAGGGGCCAAAGAATCAGTGTATATTTGACTTTCGCTAGAAATTAGCTTAACAATCCAGAAAGGAAGTTTGGATTCATCTAAAAATCAAAGGTTCTAGTAAGCTGTGTTTACAAGCGCTGGGACCAGGCACTGAACTCCATGGCACTGTTTCAAACTCCAAGGCCAAGCTGAAAGCAAAGTAAGAAGTGGAATTTTTATAAGTATGGCTTGTTCTAAATTTGAAAATTTCTTAGATATTAAACTGAGTTATGTCTTCTCCATTAAAGTCATTCATAATAAAATACCACTTTTCATAAACAAATTTCTAATAGATTTTAAGTGATTAGCTATTGGGAGTGTTCAACATCCAATATAAGGGCACAATCGGTTCTACTAAGTACTTTAAAGTGACATTTATTGAACATGTTTACATTTTTTCATGAACATAATTTTTATACCAAATGTCAATAAAAACAAAATCATGCAATGTATTTGATACTACACAGGGATGAAAATTCAGGAAGGTATGCCTAAAACTCGTTTCAGGAATTAGGACTTGAGGGGCATTGAGTCATAAACCAAGTTCAAAAGAAATATACATCTCACTGTATTACTGTACTATTTGCTCAGTAGGAAGTAAACCTGGTGCCCACCAGCCCCAGGCCTCTCGCTGGGCAGAGGCCTGCATCCTCCTCATTCTGGGGGTCGGCGTAACCTTGGGGCAATGGTCGAGACGCTGTGGAGAAAGGTGTTATGCTCCTCCGTTTTGTAGTCTGACTCTGTGCTGACATTTACTTTAACCACTGGGGTAAAGGGGACTTGATGCCCTTAAAATTTAGGGTTAACAATGTAACCTAGTAGGTTTGGGGGAAATGTGATAAGAAAGAAATGAATAGGTTACCAGTAAGGATAAGTGACTTCATTTTCAGTCTAGCTTTACTTACAGCTTGTTTTCAGTAGTTTGTTCTGTAAACCTGTGTTGTTTACTTCCTTCTTAAACAAGATCATTTAAAAGTGACTTTTCACATGGGGAAAGGCGATATGAAACTTCATTTTAATTTTTTTCCAGAAAGGGTATTTAAACAAAGCAGATTAAAAGCGAAGAACCATCTTATTGATGGTCTAAGTCTGAAACTATTTCAAGTGTATGTTTTCATACTTTGTATTGTTAAAGTGTCTTTCAGGCAATGATTATTTAAAAACATTACTGACTTGAATCTCACAAAACTGATGAAGTGAGCCTGTGTACATCATTGTTATATGACTTGCCTGAAAAACCATAGTAATTTAGTACTATACTGGATCTCTCTCCCAGACCTTGTCTTTAAAGCACAGTTATAACAGCTATATTAAGATTCTTAAGGAGTAGGGTTTCATTGCATTACTCTAAGTTACTGAACAATTGTTTCAACCATGATTTATCTGCCATGGTTCATGGAAAACAGAAAATGAACCAAACACAGCTAGCTACCCCTTCTCTGAGCCATGTCACCCTATTAGCTAGCACTTACTGCAGTCCGCCAACCATCACGTTCCCTGTGTCTGCTTAACATAAGTGGTTAAGTCACTTGCCAGGCTGTTGCATAATTAAACAATTAGATGTTGACAGGGTTTAGGGAAGACCCGTTTGCCTCCAGATTCTGTACTCCAGTTTTAGCTTTGACTATCCCATTCTACAAATGTCCATCATCTTCAAAATGGTATATATAAGCTTAGTAAGACCCAGAAATTCCACTCTTGGTATATACACAAGAGAATGGAAAACATACATCCACACCAAAAAAGGTACATGAATGTTCACAGCAGCATAACAGCCAAAAATTTGGAAAGAATCTAGATGTTCATCACCTGATGTATGAATAAGTAAATGTGGTATATCCACACAATTGAATATTACTTGGCTATAAAAAGGAATGAAGTACTATTACATGCTACCTCATGGATGAACCTTGAAAACATTATGCTGACAGAAAGAAGCCAAACACAGAAGGGCACATATTGTATAATTCCATGTATATAAATAGGCAAATCATTAGAGACAAAGTAGATTAGTGTTTGCCAGGGATGGGGGGAGAAAAGGTGACGAGTGATTGCTAAGGGCTAAGGGGCTATTTTGGGGGATGACCAAATGTTCTGAAATTAGTGGTGGTGATTTCACAACTCTGTAAATATACTAAAAATCAGTAAACTCTATTTAAAAGGGTGAATTTTATCTCAATAATGCTGATATTTAAAAAAGGAAAAGGTCATCAACATGATTTCCTACTTCTCACATGCTAGAAGTCAAATGAGCAAGAACGATATATTTTATTTAGCCTAAAGAGAATCTGAGAATCTTGATACTATAGTATTGCTAATCTATATAATGGCTTAGAATAGTTTTATTCACACTGTGACCAATAATGGATTAGCTATACTTTAGGAAAATTACTATAAGCTAGATTTTTGTTAAAAAGAGAAATATTTGTTGTCAATCACATGAAAAAACGTAAAGGAACTGACCCATGGATGACAGCAGGTCTAACATGTTAGACAAAGGTTTATACTTACATGTTAATAAAAATTTATAGCACATGGAAACCCAGAACAAAAACGATCTTTTATGTTCTAGTTCATTCTCCTGTCCATTCGAGGCACTCCAAACGGCATGGTCACGGTACGCCGGCGACTCGCTGTCCCTTCAGAGCCATCAGTAGTGCTTAGCATAAGCCACAGACAGTCACGGTGACAAATGGCATTCTCTCTCCACAGCAGCTTGCTCACCAGGGACAACACTGCAAACAAACTAGCACACATGGAATTCCTCGAAGTCAAAAGAACCCAGCCTAGCCCTTCGATCTCGGATTGCCACCCGTGCTTTCAGAGGATCCTGTTGCCCGCGACGCACTCCAGGCCACACTGATGCCGCCGTGGCTACGTCTGCGTGACGGCTTAGAGAGAACACAAGCTTCTTGCACCGTGTTCACATGAAAAGTGGAAGATAGCTGTCAGTTTTCAAGGTCTTTGGCTAAAGTCTCGCGGATGAATTGTAAGGTACGTTGGTACAAAAAAGCATCCTTTTCCTTTGGCTTACAAATATTCAAATGGTTAACATCCACAGGAATTAGATCTCCAATGCCTAAATCTTGAAGAAAACAAAAATGTCATAAAATCTAAGTAAAAATGCAAGATTTCCCCCTATCAATACTGAAAGAGGCCCAATTCTTAGTTGTAAATGTTGATTTGGTTGTGATAGGGACTCTTAAAAGACAAAGGAACTTGAAGTTTCATTGTAGCTAAACTGCCTTTGATTAATCATGCCAGAATGAATTCTTAGGAGGTATAATTTATGCTTTTCATAAATTCTTCATCTGTGTTCAGACCTACTTCCTAATTTAGTAGTGAATAGAGCCCGAGCACTATCATTTTCAAAATCTTTATATACTTGCAGGTTATTACTAAATTATTCCATACTTCTTTTAACCATTTCTTTTTCTAGAGTTTATATTATAAACTTGAGAATGAGCTCCTTTGTCCTAAGAGAAAGAATGGGAACGTCTTACATGGGGTCCTGCAGTCTATACCCGAACCCCCATGACCACCCAGCAGGGGAGAGGATTTCGTGCTTGAGCTCTGGCTGAGCCGAGCGCAGTCCACCCAGGCAAAGGTGCGGCAGGTGCCAGTGAGGCCGGCCGGGTGCGGAGGAAGACGAGCCTCCTGGTGACACCGAAGAAGGCTCAGACAGAACTAGGACAAGGCTATGTCACTACAAGCAGTACATCCACAATATTAACTTTGCTTTTAGCTTCCAAAGTCCTTTTTCTAAAACACCCAGCAGGTGTTCCTTGACCTCTTTGTTTTCAACTACTAAATAGTAACTCATCACCCTATGGCATACTATTGGAGGTAAACCATCATTACGTTTCACTAGGGTATTAAGTCTTTTTCATGTTATTTAGATAATATATAATGAGATTGGGACAAAACTTATTATGCAAACCAAAGACCCATCCGGCAAGTGCTCCAGACACACACACTGGCTGCGGGGAGCACCCAGACACCTACACCAGCATCAGAGGTGATGAGAAAGGCTCTAGCGAGCTGAGGCGTCCAGGGAGTGACAGGTACGGGTTATCCACCCTGCAGAGTAATCAAGGAGTCTATAAAGACAACCAGGACTTGGGTCCTACTCTGAAAGAGCCTACAATATAGTACAATACACTACAGTAGCAGGTATTGGTCCTATTTCCCTCAACTTCAGGATTATGAAGAGAAGGTACTTTCAACATTCGCTGAAACCCCTCAAAATCTTTATTGCTTGAATGTCCCTCACTTGTTTTCCCTTCACTCACTGTCCCTCCACACCTTCAGCTGCTCTTTCCTAAGGTCTCTGCAGCCGTCGTCTCTTAGATGGAACAGCCCTTTAGTCTAGGGGACAGAGGTTCTCTATCCTTACCTTAATGCAACAGAGTTTACTGTTGATGGCTAATTTAGAGTCAGCCCATTAACCTTTGCCATCTAATCAATTAAATGAAGGGAAGGGTAATACCAAGGTTATGTTTGCAGAGAAATTTTAATCTATGGCTGAAAAGAACAACAGAGTTAGAATCTAGATCTTCCTAAAACGGACAAACTAAATATAAAAGTTGACGTTTGTAATGCTAGGCACCACCAACCTGCTGACTCCACGGGCACGACGTGGAGTTTAATCATGCTACCAATGGAGGTCGGCAGTGTTTCGACAAAACTCAGCACCTGGAAGTTTCTATCTTTGGCAAACTCCAGAAAGTCATCCTGTAGTACCTTAAGTGCAGGAGAATCTGCAAAATTACAGAGAACAAGACTGTGACAAGTTCTGTTTATCTAATTCATAATAAAGCACATCAACCTACCAAATTTAGAGAGAAAATTAGGGTTCTAATTTGGACGGTGGCTCGGTTATTTTCTCTCCTTCCTGAGGAGCCCTTAAGCTGAGAGTAGAGGGCTGAACCCAAGGCAGAGCCGGGGAGAGATGCCCCACCCTGGCTGGCACCCGCAGCACAGCCCCACCCCCGCAGCCGGTCTACAGCCAGAGTCCCTGCCTCAAACATGAGAGGGCAGCCGAGGAGCACCAGACATGAGGACAGCCGACAGCCTCAAAGAAACAGACCCGAGGAGCAAACAGAAAACCTGAACAGGGAAGAAACGGGAACGTTAAAAAATCCACTAATTTGTATCTTTAGAGTGAGTTCAAAAGATAATGGATCAACAAACAAGAGTGAGTTTATGGAAAATAAAATTCAAGGGAAGGAGAAGATAGTCAAGTAGCCCTGGCCAGCTTTGCTCGCAATTAAAGCATCGGCCTGAGGACCCAAGCGTCTGGGGTTCGATTCCCAGCCCCAGCCCTGGTCGTGAGGGAGGCAACCAATCAATGTGTCTCTCTCTCCTTCCCAACAACAAAAAAATCAATGGAAAAATACCCTCCGGTGGAAATTAAAAAAAGAAGATAGCCAAGTAACTCTGTGCACAGAGGTGAGAGAAAATACGAACACAAGGACATCTAGCACATTAAGGCTCAAGTCAAGGCTCCAAATTCTGATCAACAGGTATTCCAGGGACAAGTAAAATGCTTATTAAATAAAACAAATACAGGGGTGGGCAAAGGTAGATTTAAAGTGTTACTACACAAAACAGAGTTTATTGTGTTGTTTTCCATGTGAACAACTGTAAACTTACCTTTGCCCCACCCTGCATATTATGCTTTGTAGCTAATATAGTGAAAATCTTCAAAGCTTATACATATGTTATCAGTGATTTTCTAAATTCATGGAAAAAAGCAATTAATTAGTAATTTGAAATTATACTTAAAACATTATATAACCTTTAAAACTTTTAATTTCACATAGTATTAAAATTGTTATGTTTGAATAAATAATGGCTTAAGACAAAAAGGGAGAGTATCAAAAAATAAACCCAAACTAAAAATTTTCCATGATCATCTAACCAGGGGTGGGGAACGACCGTCCAGCCAGTGGAAGGCCCACGAAATCAATACCACGTAACATCACACGGCTCACCAGTTAGCCTGACCAAATGTGGCTGGCTAATTTTTAAGCTAATTTTGTATAATGATGTTATAAATATCCAAATGGCTCCTGGCAGAAAAAAGGTTCCCCACCCCCTGGTCTAAACACAATTCATAACAAATAATAAAACGAGACACTGTAGTCAGGCTAGAAACTGTCTCCTCTCCCCTCTCCTGCATAACTGACCGAAGATAAGTATTACCCTTGCTGAGCTCTTTGACTTCCAAAGAGGGGAAGAGAAGATAGCGAACGTTGACAGAGTAGTCAGCCAGGTGGGTTCCGTGATGAGGGACACTATAAAATATCACTCCTCTGGTATTGTTTATAATTGTACTCATTTCTGGCTTCTGAGAGGCTTCCAACAGCATCTTTTTGACAAGAAGACCTAGCAACAGAAAAGAAAAAAATAGTGCATGAGCTGTTTTCCTTCGCTCAATTATTCTTAAAACCCCAAAAAGAAATACAGAAAAAGAGATGCTTGCTTTAAAAAGTTTAAGCAATAATTTTCTGTAATTCAATACCCAGGACCCTAAAATATCAGCACCAAATAGTACTCCCGAGCCTCTGGACCAGACTCTTACCTGCAAACAAGGAAAAGTCTAGAGACTCACTTGCACCCTGGGCCGCACTGCCCCCCAGAAGGCGCACCAGGACCGACAGGCTGCGTGTCCATCGAAGGCGCACCAGGACCGACAGGCTGCGTGTCCATCATGCACCCTGGGCCGCACTGCCCCCAGAAGGCGCACCAGGACCGACAGGCTGCGTGTCCATCATGCACCCTGGGCCGCACTGCCCCCCAGAAGGCGCACCAGGACCGACAGGCTGCGTGTCCATCAGGGAGCAAACCTGCAGCTGCAGTCGCCCCAGCCCTGCCCACAGCAGCCCACCGGTGAGCACTCCACTAGGACAGCACTAATATTCCAAACACACTCCCATAAAGCTGATCCTCCATGCAAAACAAGCTTCTGTGGGGAAAGGCACCTTCTGTCTCCTTCTACCAGGCTTGGAGCCAGTGGTGAAACACAAGGTCACATAGATGGTGACACTGGCTCCGAGGACACAAAAGGTGACATTTACCTTCCTCTCAGCTAACCGCCTGGACTCGGCAATCCTGAGTGCGTCAGCAGATAAACCAGGCAGCCGCTGCAGAAGGCCCTCTGCAAGGCTGATGGTGAAATCTAGAACTGGGCTGGGGAGAGGGCTGGGAGGAGCAGATGTCCCTCCGCAAGCAAGCGCTAGGATCCGCAGAGCAGACAGCCGCAGGCCTGGGATAAGCAGGCACGAAGCAGGCTGTGGGCACGAGAGCGATAATGGACTTTGCAATGGCTAGGGTGAAGGGGAACAAGGGGAGCCTTGGGACCAGCCAGGAATAGTTACAAGTCGGGCTATAGACGCCAGGGACTGCTTCTGATGTTTATTCATTATCCCTACATGACAGCACTAAGTTGTCAAACTCATATCCCTTTTATATAGTTTGTTATTAGTTGTTCCTGTCTAAACAAATAGCATGGAAGGAGAGTAGTAATTTAAAAACTCCTAGCTGCAGCCAAAAACATTTATTTAGAGGTGAAAAGGGTTACTAGTGAGTAAAACAGCTACAGTAACTCAGGTTAGCCGCAGTCTCTTCACAGTGCTTGCTTTGCAGAAATGGCACACACTTACCACCCATGCTGTGTGACACCCAAATCAATGGCCTGTCCCCAATACCAGCAGCTCGGAGCTTCCTAAGAAGTTCGTTGCTTCTGAATGCAATGGACTTTCTGAACAAAATGAAAACAACAGGCATGACAGGTGGCTGTGGATCTCACCCAAGCTTTGCTATCTAATCTTTAAGGCAAGAACTTTTGTTTATTGGACCAATGCTACGTGCTCCGTTAGGAGTCAGGACCCCCCCATTCTCTCTGCTCCATTTCTGCAGCTGCTCCTTCCCTATTGCTGACTCAGTCACACTGGCATAACTGGTAATGTCTAAGCCCAGAACAAGCCCTTCCTTCACTAAGCAAGCATTGCTGGAGCATCTAATATGTGTCTGGCAATTTTCACAGGTCAAAGTTAGGTCTCACGCCAACCGCCTCCCATCACTTAGGACATGTCCTTTCCCCTCACGTGGCCTGACAAGAAGTACACGCCTCTTCTGTGATTCACCTACGAAGGCAGCTGTCATTGTTTGCATTTATGCTGAAAACATTGTTTTGATTACTTAGAAATACCAGAAAGCTATTAGAATGAGAGAATTCAAAATAAGTAATTTTCAAAACGGGAACTTCAAAACTATCTGGTCTGATAGTTTCAAACTGTTTACCTGTAGAATCCTTTCTTTACTATAAAGGCCTGTCACAGTTCCGCTGGGTGAAATGGGGAAGGAGTCCTGGGGTCTTATCTGCTAGCCCTCAGCACCTTTCCTCTGGCACCTGGGGGGAGGCCATTCAGAACCCCCACTGACTCAGGCCAACTCGCTCAATTTGCAAACCAAGCTCCCCAGACAAGTAAATGACTCAGCACACTGAGTCAAAGGTGGAACTGGCTACAGTCTAGGTCTTGAGCCCAGCAGCCCAGTGTCCTTCCTTCTATTACAGTTGCTCAGGTGACATACACGTGACTTAAGGAGCCTATCCTGCTCAGCATCGTTTTCTTTGCTTCCTTTAGCCAGTATGACTGTGAACACCAGAGCAAAAGCACCACATTTATGTCTCAAAGTCAAGGAGACTTTGCTGTGGGGTCGGTGGTCCTGATTACCAGAACAGTAGTAAGTGAACATATTAGAAGCCCAACACTGACACACTAAGCCTGTTCTATTAATTTACTTATCACTAACTCCTTCTAGAAGAAAGAAAAAGGTCAGGTTAGTTTTTCATTAAAAAATCTGTCTGGGGCATCAAAAGCTAAAAGCCCCCTCCATCCCAGAGGGCCCCCTGGTAGCCTGGACCCTTGCCCTTCCAAAGCTTCCTGTTACCTTTCCATAGGGCACCTCGCTCTCCAGTCGCTGAGGCTGGTGTCGTACTCCACAGAGATAATTCGGAGAGCGGGACAGTCTCCTGCTAACCATGTCTATGTAAAATAAAAGGTACAAAAGAACATACATGAATGTCCACTGCCCCAATTATTTCCTAGTAATTGAAATTCATAACTAAAGGACTCTTGCAATATTGACTAAAGATCACATTGGAATAAAGTATAAAGGTGACCAGAAAAACAAGTCCAGCATTTTATCTTTTTGTCTCTGGCCACAAGTTGGCATCAACATTTATAGCATAAGGCCAATGCAGGTGTCAAGAGAATATTCTGTTTTAATCTGCTACAGCCAAAAGCAAGGCCTGTTTTTGAGTCTGGATCAAATTGGCTTTTTGAAAGTATTTAAGAGAAAGTTATGCTCTCAGGACAAGCAGTACGGTCTGATGGTTAGAGATGCGACCTGAGCACTCAGAGATACTAATTCAGTCGAGTTCTGTCTCGTGGACCCGAGCCTGTTGTCATCCCCATACTCAATTTCATTGCAGAGTAAAAACCATTCTCTTTGCCTGATAAGCCTTTGTGGTGTGAATGGGCAGCAGCGGGACAGGGCCCTAGAAACTACCTCCACCTATTTACAGCATCTACTTCTCTGAGCTGCAGATAAATTCCACTCAGCAACTTCATCTCAGGGTTAAGGTTCTTTGAAAGACAATGTCAAAGAAGTCCAAAGTAAAATGACTTCTTTAAAGTCTAATTTTATAATTATTAAAAACTAGAACTAGCCAACTATCATAAATGTAATATATTATTTTTTGTATTATATACATATTTTTTAATTTTTAAAAAAATCCTCATCCAAGGATATGTTTCCATTGTTTTGTTTTTTGTTTTTCAGTGAAAGAGGAGGGGGAAGGGGAAAAAGGGGAGGAGTGGAGGGAGGGAGAAAGAGAGAGAGAAACCATCAGCTGCCCCACCCCACCCCCTGCTGCACATACCCTGACTGGGGATCAGACCCTCAACCCGTCAGCTATGGGACGTTGCTCCGACCAAATGAGCCACCCAGCTAGGGCTGTATTATATTATTTTTAATGGAAGTGAATGATTACTGGCCCTTGCCCCTGTTTTTCACTTATTGGAACATTATTCTAGAGTCACAGACTGTGCCCTATATTATACAACACAGGGCGACCAGCCCAGCTGTTCGTGTAACACAGCACAGTGTCCCTAAGGGAAAGAACACGCGTGGGAACAAATGCCAGTGAGAACAGAAAAGCGAGTCGCAATGAGGACTCCGAGGGCCAGCAGCACTGCCGTGTGTCACCACCGAGGTGGCTGCCAGAGTCAGCCGTGTCCTTACCTTGGGCCAACATGTCGTATACCTGGTTTCATCCCCTGAAACCTTTTCAGTTAGAACCTGGTCACTGTCCTGCTGGCGCCACGTTTTGAATGCTGCTCCCATAAGGCCGTGAATAAAAAGGACATCTGCTTTAATGGGCTGACTAACAGGGGAGAGAGTGTTAGAAAGAAGCAGAATGAACACATTGTTTGGTGAGAATCTACGCAGCACTCTCTGCGGATGGTGCTAGCAGGGTTATATGACATTAAACAAAAACGAGGCAAGCTCAGAGCGCCGGGGTGCTGAAGAACCTTCGAGAGTTCCGGCAGAGACGCGCACGGAGCGTGCTCGCTGCTCCACGGAAATGGAGACATTTCCCAGGCACACCAACCCCATCAACGTCAGTGACCAGAGCAGTGACAGATGTCAGACTGCTCGCCAAAGAATTCCATGAGACTGTCCCACAAATCAAATTTAAGTATTTTAAAATTAAATAAGAATATGCTAGTATACTTTCAAACTCAGCATACATAAAAGAGATTTTCAAAAACTTATCAAGGATAATGTTTATCAGAAATAGAGCAAATGACATTTTAAAGAAACATTCTTTCCTTGGATATGACATTAAAAATATGTGGATAGTGGTGAAGGCCTGGGGTGGGGCAGGGGCTGGGTGGAGGGGGACAAAGAAGGGGAAAATGGGGGACGTCTGTAATACTGTCAACAATTAAAAAATAATATAAAAATATGTAGATAGTATATTCCTTTTATCCTTTTATAGGGGGCACATAATTATGCAACACACAAATCCCACAGTATTTTACTTACAAACTGAAATTAAGTAGGCAAAGCATTTTTCAGGAAAAAAAAAGTTTTTGCTGTTTTCTGAGGTAATATTTTAAAGTGCTTAACAAAAATCCAAGAAATATACTACTTTTTCATTGTGGTCCTTTCTGTATTTATTGTCTCAGCTATGACACAACTGGAAAAAGTGGCCGGAAATAACCTTAAGGACGAGCATGAGTCCAAGTTATTCTTCCCTCGGGTGCATGCCGCTATACCTGCATCGGCTTCCTTCTTCCCTCCGGTGCATGCCGCTATACCTGCATCGGCTTCCTTCTTCCCTCGGGTGCATGCCGCTATACCTGCATCGGCTTCCTTCTTCCCTCGGGTGCATGCCGCTATACCTGCATCGGCTTCCTTCTTCCCTCGGGTGCATGCCGCTGTACCTGCATCGGCTTCCTTCTTCCCTCGGGTGCATGCCGCTGTACCTGCATCGGCTTCCTTCTTCCCTCCGGTGCATGCCGCTATACCGGCATCGGCTTCTTTCTTCCCTCAGGTGCATGCCGCTGTACCTGCATCGGCTTCCTTCTTCCCTCGGTGCATGCCGCTGTACCTGCATCGGCGTCCTTCTTCCTCCGGTGCATGCCGCTGTAACCTGCATCGCTTTCCTTCTTCCCTCCGGTGCATGCCGCTATACCGGCATCGGCTTCCTTCTTCCCTCGGTGCATGTCGCTATACCTGCATCGGCTTCCTCTTCCCTCGGGTGCATGCCGCTATACCTGCATCGGCTTCCTTCTTCCCTCGGGTGCATGCCGCTATACCTGCATCGACTTCCTTCTTCCCTCCGGTGCATGCCGCTATACCTGCATCGGCTTCCTTCTTCCCTCCGGTGCATGCCGCTATACCTGCATCGGCTTCCTTCTTCCCTCCGGTGCATGCCGCTATACCTGCATCGGCTTCCTTCTTCCCTCCGGTGCATGCCGCTGTACCTGGTATCGGTTTCCTTCTTCCCTCCGGTGCATGCTGCTATACCTGGTATCAACTTCCTCCTGTCCCTTGCGGTCCAGGCCCAGGCTAATTTGGTTCCCTGCACATAAATGACAATGTCCTATCTCCTTCCCACCCAGCACTACCTGTACAGTCCCAGTGTTCAAACCTGTGTGGAAAATGCTGAGAGACAAAGAAACACACAAGAAGTCGAAGTGCACCACATTATAAAGAGGAAGGCAACCTTACTGAACGGAAGCCCGGGGTTAGAATAACCCGGAGAACTAGCTACTTCCATGCTCTCATGACAGCCTGCAAGTCTGCTGAGGCTATTGGGGCAAACTGGTTCAGTATATAAGGTACGTGACTTACCTATCTGTAAGGTGGTTAACTTATCTAAATTATGCAGAAATAAAAATGTTAAGCCCTCTAGGTTTTCCCTCCCCACGGGACAAGGGGACTGTTGTGCTCCCTTACCTTGTGCGACACTGGGGGTGAAGCACGTACACGCCATCCTGGTACTTTTCTTGCACCGTCTCTCGGTCTAGATTAGCCAGGGTTCTGGCGGCATGTGAAGCCTCCATGATGTAGGGAGACTTCATGGCTTTTGCCAGTATGGAAACCCAGCCTGGGAAAGAGAGCACACCTCCTAAACACCGACACTAATGCATCTCAGGTGGGCGAGAGGCTGCAGCTCGAGAATGATGGCAGAAAGGCAAACCTCAGCATTTGTCTACACGGAGAAGCGCAACCACTCCGATTCCTCCCTAAGGTCCTCTGGGTCCCACGGCACAACCCCACGATGCCCCAGCCAGGTGCCCCTTAGGGATCTCACAGCAGGTAGGAAGGGTTCAAAAGCCATTTTCTTTCTTTAGAAAATCAAACAAAAGTTGCAAATACTAGAGATGAGGTCATAAATGGAAAGAAAAATAATATTTTGCTTTTAGCAAGAATTATTAAACTTAGTGAGTTAATATTAGTTATTTCATCCGGATTGGCAGTCATAGTAGCAGCCTTCAACATATGTGGGAAATTGTTTTTTAGTAATGAGCTTGCTTCATAGACAAAAATCTTGTAAAACCTGATGTTCAAGGAAGGAAAAACTATTTTAAAGAGAGAGAAAGCAGTACTATGTGCAGTACAATTTCATTTATTTTTTTGTTTTTGTTATTTACAACACTATTACTTTATGCACATAAGTATATATGAAACTGCATGGGTGTGAACACATGTGCGCGCGCACGTACACGCGCACACACACACACACACACCAAAGGTCTGAAAAGAAGCACCAAATAGTTATTATCTCTTAGGAGGGAGTTGAGACTAGAGAGGGGTCTATAAAAAGGTGGGTGTATCTATGTTTTCTGAAGTATATATAATAAAAGCCTACTCATGTATTATTTATATAATTTGAAGTAAAACAGAATATGAGCCTTGAAGTCAGAGAGACTTGGGCTCAGATATCTGTCCCCACCGACCTGCTGTGGAAGTTCAGTCAAGTTACTTGGCTCCTCTGAGCTGGAAGAAGATTCTAAAACAGCCTCTAAAACCTGCCTGTACGCATCCGCAGCAGGTACTCCACGAGAGCAGAGAGCAGCTGTCCCCATAGCCCCCTCCCACTCTGGCCTAGGTGTGGGTGTCACTGTGATGGCAGAAAGCCAGTGCTTAACACTCCAAAAGAAGTCTCAGTCCCAGTGATTCTTTAACAATATTCATAGTTGTAATCAGGAAATACCTCTTCAAAATCTGTGTTAAAGATGCTTTATAATAATACAATACGGAGGTTTTTAAATTCTACCTATAGAGATACACAAGTATACCATTGGTATGCGCAAAAATGTGGCTTGATTTGTAATGCAGTCACAAGACTCAGACAAGAGAAAGCATGGCATAAGACATTTCTGTGGCACCTTTAGTTGAGAAAGTATTTTCACAATGTCTGAGATGCTTCCTCACCTCTTACAAAACATCAAATGTCCCTTGGAAAACCTGTGTCTTTCTTTAGTATTTAGTGTTTTTAAATAACGTAACATCCGAATATATGTTAATTGTAAAAACAAACAAATACCATTTAATAATGGAAGTCCCACTTTAGAATCCCATCGTTCCCCAATTCCATGTACAGCCTCAGAAATAACCAGAGTTAAAAGCCTGGTGGACACCCTTCCAAACCTTTTAAAAAATTCAGCCACGTTCCTGTAGTTTATATATACATGTACACTGTGGCTCTCGATGGGCTTTTCACCTAACTCAGATCATGCCATTCCTTCTGTCCGTGGCTTGATTCTGTGCTCTGTACTCAGCCATGTGTCTTGGGAAGCTCCCCATACATATCAATAGCGTTATATAGTTTGAGTACACCACTATTTATTTAACCATTATTCCTACTGTGGACATTTAGGTTGTTTCCAATTATTCCATACTGTAAAAAATAGTCCAATAAATATTTGTATATACAAATCTTTAAGAACATCCATGAGTATTTAGGTAGGAGAGATTCCTAGCTGTATTATCACTAAGGCAAATGGTATATACATTCTTTTAATAGATACTACTAAGTGCCTGTCAAAAGACTGAATCACTTTACATTCCCACCAACAGTGTAGGAGGGCCGGTTCTACACACTTTCACCAACAGTGAACAGTATCTTTTTAACTCTTGTAAATCTGAATGATGAAAGTTTCAGATGTGATACTACTAAGATTAATAAAAATACATAGGTAGGTAGATAGATACAGGATGCCTAAGCACAAAAATAAAACACGGTAAGGCAGAATTCAAATTGGAGCACTCAGAAGTAATGGGAGCTGAGCAAAAAGAAGTATAGATAACTCTTTCCAAAAGTTAGCTAATAAGTGGAGGAGAGAAAGAGAGGACAGAAATTCAAGGGGATGTGGTAGCAACACCTGAGTTTTTACTTTTCCTATCTCCCCCAGCGTGTGTTGGTCAGAAGGGTCCAGCTGAGAGGCAGCAGCTGAGCACATGGGCTAGAAGACAGTGGCAGCTCCGGAGACAGTGAAGGGAGGCAGGAGCCACGAACAGCTGGCGGTTTCAGAAGAGGTGTAGCTCTTCCTATCATCAAGAGGACAAAAGGAGAGGACAGGTTTGGCTTACTGGTAGTGGGACACTAAGGGAAAATTCCTTGTAGGGTTTAATTGAAGTAGGAGGAGAGGCCATGTGCTAAGAGGGACAAGAACTGTGGAAGGTTCGAGGAACGTGGAGAAGGTGTAAACTCACTGCTAAGAACAGTAAGGCATGTTGACTGGAGACACGTGACTGCCAAGCAATCATGTAATCTGCTGATCTTATGTTCACACTGACAACCAATCCGCAGTGATCCTATGCTCAGCAATAGAAGAAACAGATATGTAGGTTTAATCTAGTGTTGGGGTCTTGACCAAGGGGGTGATAAAAGGGAAAAGAGGTTCCAGGGTACTGGCAAGACATTGCTGAAATGATGGGACACAGGCTGAATCTGGAGGAAAGTGAAGACGGAAGAGGACCGGTGATGGGGAGGAACTCAAGGGGCCAGCGGATGGCAGATTCCACTGTAGAGGAAACCGTCACTGTGGAGCAGACACAAACAAGCCTGAACGAGAGCAGATGTGCTCAGAGAGGTGAACTCCTGATTTCTGAGGTGAAGAGGTTTCAGGCAATGACCAGGCCCAAGGTATGCCGTACGAGTGAGCGCCAGACAGCTCAGGAGCAGAGAAGGAAGTCAGTGAGGATAAGACGGTCAAGGAATTGAGGGATGTCCTGTATTTATCTAAATCACCCGAGAGTCAAGTTTCAGTTAAAGGAAAGGTAATTTTATAAGGAAAAAATAATAATTTTTATCAATTCTCTATCCTCTGTGGTGAAAATGAAAATAGAAATCATCTATGCCCTGGCCGGTTTGGCTCAGCGGTTACAGCGTCGGCCTGCGGTCCGGAGAGACCCGGGTTCGGTTCCCGCTAAGGGCACGTACCTCAGTTGCAGTTTGTCCCCGGCCCTGGTTGGTCGTGCGGGTGGCAGCCACTCGATGTGTCCCTTTCATGTCGATGTTTCTCTCTCTCTCTTTTCCTCTCTCTCCCTCCCGCTCTATCTGAACAAAAAATGGAAAAATGTCCTCGGGTGAGGATTAAAAAAAAAAAAAGAAAATAGAAATCATCTAAAGTAAAGCACAGAGAGAAAAAATTTTTTGTGAAGAGTCTCAATGACCTGTGGAGCAGAACCACGTGCTCTAATACACCTCACTGAAGCCCTGAAGGAGAGAAAGGGACAGAAAGAACGTTTGACAATCTATTGGCTGGAAAGTCTCCAGATTTGATCGAAAACATCAGCCACAGATTCATTCAGCTCAGTGGACCCTGAGCAGGACAAAGACAAAAAAAGACACCTGGGTACTTCATAGTCGACTACTGAACACCAAACACAAAAACCTTAAAAGAAGCCAAAGAAGAAAAGACAGTGCGCAGAGGAGAACAAAGTGGGAATAAGGAGTATATCCAATAGCATTACACAGTTTGAGCACACCTCTGAGGGATGCACCTAAAGCAGGTAGAGGAAACTTACAACTTTAAATACCTATAATAGAAATTTTAGTGATTTTAAAACATGTCTTCATATTCTTTGACACTCTTCTCATCAAGAGGTGAGGAGTCTAAACCCCTCTAAATCCCCTCCCCTTGAATATGGGCTAGCCTTAGTGACTGGCTTATAATCAATAGAGTATGGCAGAAGTTACTTCCAAGGCAAGGTTATAAAAAGCAAAATAGCTTCTATCTGGCTTTCTCTCAGGACATGTGCCCCAGCACCCAACCCTCATGCTTTAAGGAAGCCCAAGCCACATGGCGAGGCACATGCAAGAAGGAGCCAATGGTCCCAGCCCCCAATGACCTCCCAGCTGATAGCACCAATTTGCAAGCCCTGTGAGCAAGCGACCTTGAGAGTGTGTCCTCTGTCCCACAGCTGAGCTGCCCAGCGGATGCTGCACAGGACAGATAGAAGCCTTCCCTACTCAACCTCACCCTAATTTCAGAGTTATGAGCAAACATGATTTGTTTTAACAAGTGAGTTGTGGTGTGGTTTGATACATAGCAATATATAATTGAAACAAGAAAAAAGGGTGAAATCAGTGATCTATGTTTCCACCTTAGAAACTTATAAACAGAGAAACAATTAAAATTTATTGTAAGTGGTCCTTTATAGAAAGAGTTTGCTGATCCCTCTTCTGCTGATCAAGTCACTCTTAAATTCATAATTTATAATACATGTAAATATAAGAATATATGCATATACAGTTGACTCTTGAACAACGAAGGTAGGGGAACTGACCCCACCCACCCACCCAGCCAGTAGAAAATCCACCTATAACTTGAGAATCCTCAGAAACTTAAGTTGTCCCTCAGTATCTGCCAGGAAGTGGTTCCAGGGCCCCCCGTGGATACCGAAATCCTCTGATGCTTACGTCTCCTATATAAAATGGCACAGATCAATGCATACAGTCAGCTCTCTGCTTCTGTGGACTCCCAACGGCGATCTAAAACAGTACAGGTAGCCCTGGCCAGTTTGGCTCAGCGGTTAGAGCGTCGGCCTGCGGTCCTGAGAGACCCGGGTTCAGTTCCCGCTAAGGGCGCATACCTCGGTTGCAGTTTGTCCCCGGCCCTGGTCGGTTGTGCGGGTGGCAGCCACTCGATGTGTTCCTTTCACATCGATGTTTCTCTCTCTCTCTCTCTGTTCCTCTCTCTCCCTCCCACTCTACCTGAACAAAAAATAGAAAAATGTCCTCCGGTGAGGATAAAAAAAAATAAAAATAAAAAAAAATAAATAAATAAAACAGTACAGGTATTTATTGAAAAACATCCACATATAAGTGGACGCATGCCCTTATAACCCGTTTTGTTCAAGGGTCAGCTGTAAATCTGCAGATACGTATGTACATGTATGTTTTTCTGTATTACCTAGCTTTTTCCACTGAAAAAGCCAAGAATAAACACACCCCAGGAGCAAAAAGCACACAAAGCACCCAGATCTTGGTCTCTAATAATCACTCATACATCAAAGATATAAACATTTAGGAGGTCATCAGCAAAAACAGCTCTCCTGTGACTATCCACACACTGATTAGCTTAAGTGTCAATTATCCAAATATCTCAAGCAATTCCTTGCCCGTATACTAAAATGACATGCTCTAAGGACCCTTAACTATCCCTAAGCAAAGTCTTCAGTCTGTTGAAAAATTAATATATCATGATGCGTGGAAATAGGAAAAGGACTGGATCCAAAATATTCAGCATATAAAGTTGTTACCTGAGCGGACGATAGTTGAATGAAGATGTTCATTCAAAGCCATATTGCCAATGATCCGCATTATATTTCTCTGTATTTTAGGGGAGTCCTCATGAAGTTGGTGCAGCCTCTGAAGTAGTTGCAAGCCTCCATTTGCTTCAATTTTATCACAGTGTGTAGGTATCTAGCACAATAAATGAACGAAAGCTCACTGTATGTCATAATTACAAATTCACTAACCGGGTGACACAACATGCTGACGGGCAGCCAGGTGGCTCCTGCTCAAGGACAGAGACCCCGAGAGACGACCCAAGCTCTCATCTCGGCTCACTAAATACACAAACCTCTATCTACGTGGGAAGTGCTTCAGAATCACGGAAAGATATAACTCATATCTCACCAGGATTTCTGACATTTTTATTCTTAAAGTTATTCTGTTTAGGTCTTGGTTATAAATAACCTGACAGTGTCATTATTACAGAACTGTTTCAGTTGCTAGTGATACTTTGATTGGCTTAAAAGTACCTTAAAATGGTTCTCTAGCCCTGAGAAAGCTGCCACCCGATAATGGAAGAATCCCTGTCCAAGTGGCAGATCCCACAGAAATAAGCAACTTCTGCCCCACACAAACCCACAGCTACTGGGCTGGCCTAACCTTAGGAGTCAGAAAATTTGCTTGAAGAGAAAGATCAAGTATAAATAGAAAGAAAAGGGGATATGAATTTTTAATAGAGAGAAGTGATCAAAGAAAACCAAAGGAAATATGTATACTGCCCTGGCCAGTTTGGCTCAGCAGTTAGAGCATCGGCCCGCAGACCAGAGAGTCCCGGGTTCGGTTCCTGCTAAGGGCACGCCCTTGGTTGCAGTTTGTCCCTGGCCCCAGTTGGGGTCGAGTGGGTGGCAACCACTCAATGTGTCTCTCTTACATCGATGTTTCTCTCTCTCTCTTCCCCCCTCTCTCTCCCTCCCGCTCTATCTGAAGATAAATGCAAAAATGTCCTCAGGTGAGGATAAAAAAAGAGTAAATTAGGAATATGTATACTAAGGTAAGGTGAAAGAATTGACCAACAAGTCACTATGGTCTACCAAGGACACTGGCATGGCCTTGCCTCTTCCCAACACTAATTTTACTCACTGACATGACACCATGTCACTCACATATATGCAACAATTGTCATTCTCTAAATTTTTATTAAATTTTATCACATTTTAGGTGCATTTAGAAGTATGTCTTTTAGACACACATCAAGTGAAATAAGTAACAACTTGAGAGGCTTTTCTGGAAAGGTAACTATTACATTCCATGACTGCATCTTCTACTGAAGATGCATCTACTGCTTCAGAAACTAGGCGTGAACCACAAAAACACAAGCTCACTGTCCCCCATTCCCTTTGAAGTCTGACACTTTAGTAACCCTGCTTTGTCCTCGATCCTATTTCCATAGGCAGGAACTCAGATGACCAGAAAGCACTGTGCTTGTGAGCCATGTCTAAGGGTTCCCAAAATGAAGGGGAGAGTTTAGAATGTGCAGGATGACCAGGAACCTGCAGCAGCCTCACCAGGGATGCCCGGTACAAATGTCCATTCCCAGACTCCACCCCGCATCAGTACATTGAAATTGCTACAGGTGAGTAGGAGGTGTGCATTTTTAACAGGCTTCCTGAGTAATGTGTATGCACTAATGTTTGAGCACCACAAAGCTTACTTTTTTCTTTTTAAAATCAAACTATGATCATGATAGAAAGATTGTCATAATGCAAAAAAGTTTGACAATCACTGACTTATACTATGGTTAAAATTTGGTCATTCAAATATTTTCTTTTTTCTATTTGATACATCTTTGACATGTTTTAATGAAAATTAACTACCAGATAATATTACTTGTAAAAATGATCTGAGAAAGGTAGTAAAAGACAGTATAAGTCAAAGATAAATGCTGTATTTAGACAACACATTGCTTTCTTCATATGCAAATAAGATTACATCAATTTTTAGAAATGCTTAGCCAGAATGAAATTCATGTATTGGTGCTAAATCATGATTATCAATTTTAACAACTGAGTGGGGGAAAGCAGAAATTTAAAAATAAGCAAATGCTTTTTTTTCCTTTTATTTTTTTAATCTTCACCCAAGGACTTTTTTTTTTTTTTGCATTTATCTTCAGATAGAGAAGGAGGGAAAAAGGGAGGAAGAAAGAGAGAAACATCGATGTGAAAGAGACACATCGAGTAGCTGCCACCCACCCGACCCCAACCAGGGCCGGGGACAAACCGCAACCGAGGTACATGCCCTTAGCAAGAACCAAACCTGGACTCTCTGGTCCACGGGCCGATGCTCTAACCGCTGAGCCACACCGGCCAGGGCTTTTTTTTCCTTTTATGATAAGTGAGCATAATTTCCCTTGAATGAACATGTATAATTTTCTTCAAGGTGATCATAAAAATAAGCCACATCTTAAAATGTAAGTTACCTCAGAATGCTTTACTAAAGCTTCTAAACAGAATATTTCCACTGTCGCTGAAGGAACTTCTCCAAAGCTCTCCGCATAGGGAAGTCCATTTCCTCCAAAACACCACAAGCCACCCTGAAAGTAAGATCATTAAAACTTTTACTAAAACCATGGCTAATATTTTTTGTTGAACAAAAATAATCTGTGTTATATGCAGTATTAGAGAAGACTAGTACATGGGACTCTAAATATTCTGGAAACTGTTGCTCAGTAGGACAGAAAACATGGACTTATTCCCAGAACACACTCTGAGTCTTTCTCAGTTCCTTCCCATGTCCTCTTATCTGAAAGTACACGGTACTAACTCACAATTCTTCATTGTAAGAAAAGCCCAGGTTAATCAAAATGTTCTAGGGTCAGATTGGCTAGTCAAATCTACTTAAAGTCTATTAATCAAAATGATAAAAAGAGAAAAGCATTAAACTTATTAATGAAAAAAATTAAAGGCAGTGATGACAAGGATCATAGTTTTTAATTCTTCCCAAATTCAAATTCATATAGAAGAAACACAAGAATATTTAGGAAAATTATGACACAGAAGACTAGTGAGGACTAGTAGATATTAACACATATCATAAGAATAAAGTGAGCAAAGAAAATTTCAACTCTTAACCACAGATTAAGGGCTAATGTCACTAACATGCAATGATCTCTGACAAATCAGTGAGGAAAATTCCAACAATGCTATGGAAAAATGAGCAACAGTCATAAAAAAAGTTCTCAGGAAGAGAAATGTAACAATTCTAAAACACACGCAGTGATGTCCAGCGTCGCTCCTGAGAGGCACGCATGGTGCACCTACACTGAGAAAGGACATTCTTCACCTCAGGTGGGTGGGGAAATAGGCATTCCGATCACCTGGCTGCTGGTAGTGCCAATGGGCCAGCTCCTATGGAGAACAACTCAGTGACAGCTGTCAAAATTACAAGTGCCGCCCCGGACGGTTTGGCTCAGCGGTTAGAGCGTCAGCTCGCAGACCAATGAGTCTCAGGTTCGATTCCGATCAAGGGTATGTACCTTAATTGCGGGCTCCATCCCTGGTCAGGACACATACAAAAGGCAACCGATGGATGTTTCTCTCCCACATTTATGTTTCCCCCTCCTCTCTCCCTCTTTCTAACTCTAAAATTCAATATCCTCAGGTAAGGATTTTTTTTTTCTTTATTGATTTTTTGACAGAGAGGGAGAGATAGAAACATCGATGAGAGAGAACATCAGTTGGCCGCCTCCTGCATACCCCCCACTGGAGATCAGGCCCACAACCTGGGCACGTGCCCCAGCCAGGAATCAAACTGGCGACCTCTGGGTGCATGGGTCGACACGACCTCTAAGCCACAACGGCCGGGCTTGGGTAAGGATTTTTTTAAAAACTGCTCTGTAGGGACAGATTTAGAATCCAGGGGCTTGGGGCTCCCATAGAAAACAGTCAGGCTAAAGATAAGCTCGTGCATAACCCATGTAAATCCACAATCTAACATAAGGGAGAGTCAATGTCACCACAAATAGGATTTAACACTCCTATAAACGGATATAAGAGAAAATGCTGGAAGAGACTTTAAAATTATTTTCAAAATGGAAAAAAGAATAGAAGTCAAGATGGAAGAACAGGACACCATGAGAAAGAGGTGGCAGTGGCCAGGAGTAGGTGGCTACAGTGAAGTTGGTGAGACAAAAGGATACAAGGTATGTTCTAGAAAGACAGCTGAGACGGGACCTGCTGACTAGCTGGACATGGAAGAATGGAGTCAAGAACTCCTACCTTTTGCTTAAGCAGTTAAGTGGATGCTATGCCATTTGCTGAGATGAAAAAGACTAAAGGAAGACGAGCTTTGTGGAGGGAGGGCAGGCCCCACGCTAAGTCTGGGATGCCTATCATACATCCAAGTAGCGATGCCAACTAGGAGGTTAAATATTCCAATCTAGAGCTCAGGTTAGAACACAGGGCTAGAAATAACAATTTAGGCAACAGCAGCATACGGGTGATATTTAAAACCTTGTAAATTACCATATATTCATTCTTCAAGTTACAACCTCAGCGTTACCTCCTGTGAAGCCTTAAATGACCTCTTAAGCAAAGTGAAGGGATCTAGGAGTAACTTGTATGTCTCACACACACTGTGACTTTACCCGTCTCCCCATCATCCCAAACACCTAGCCACACATGGCACACAACCAGGAGTCCATATGTTTCCTCAGTTCCTGGATAAATGACTATTCTAAGGTTCTAAGTGTTGGCCCCTCGCACAAGACCTTGGAAAGAGTGAACACTCAAAAATATTTGCTCAATGAATAGATAAGCTAACCTTCTGAGCTGCTAGACTCTGACTGCTTTCGCTCAGAGCCAAAGATGTAAAATACTGGATACACTCATCTAGCTCCGTTTGAGGTAAAGAAGCCAGCAAGTATCTGAGCTCTTCTTCAAGGGAAGAATCCTGAAATAAAAAGAAAGTGAATTCTTCATAATTAAGCTCAACAACTGAACACAACAAAAAGTACCCAAAGATCCCTGGCTGGTTTGGCTCAGCGGTTAGAGCGTCGGCCTGCGGACCAGAGAGACCTGAGTTCGGTTCCTGCTAAGGGCACGTACCTCAGTTGCGGTTTGTCCCTGGCCCTGGTTGGGGTTGTGTGGGTGGCAACCAGTCGATGTGTGTCTCTCTCTCATTGATGTTTCTCTCCCCCCCCCACTCCTGTTCTATCTGAAGATATATGCAGAAGTGTCCTCCAGTGAGGATTAAAAAAAAAAAGTACCCAAAGAATCAAAGACAAAAAAGCAAAAAATAAGAAAAAAACGCAGAGATAAATTAGTGCTCTTAGTCTCCAGAACAGGCAGCTACCCAGGAAACAGACCATTTAGTTCTGAATTCCTTCCCTTCATGTCTGCTGCTCCAATCCGAAGGGCCTCCGGCAAAGCAGGGCTCTGCATTTCCACCTCGCGGGCTACTCCACATCTGGACTCAAAATGAATTACACTTTCTAACTAAAGCTGGCTTTTAAAATCCAGAACTTGTTATCTGATTTTCCCTAATAACCTACATCTAGCCCTGGCTGGTCTGGCTCAGTGGCTGGAGCGTCGGCCCGCAGACCAGAGAGTAGCAGGTTCAGTTCCCACTCAGGGGACGTACCTCGGTTGCAGTTTGTCCCCGGCCCCGGTTGGGGTCGTGTGAGTGGCAACCAGTCAATGTGTCTCTCTCACATCGATGTTTCTCTCTCTCTCTCTTCTTCCCACTCTCTCTCTCTCTCTTCTTCCCTCTCTCTCTCCTGCTCTATCTGAAGATAAATGCAAAAATGTCCTTGGGTGAGGATAAAAAAATAATAGTAGTAATAACCTACATCTAGTATATTCGTTTTTCTATTTTTCAAAAACTGATAACTTTTCAGATTTTCCTTCTGTAGTCTAGGAAAGGTACTCAAGAAACATGCTCAAATATCTATATTACTAGTTAACAATTGGTATTTCCATGTAGTAATACATGAATAACTCTACGTAGTGGTTCTCCAGCTGTGCCGGGCACCTCAGGAAACATTCATCAACATCTGGAAACGTTCTTGGCCGTCACAACATGGGGCTGCTACTGGGACCTAGTGAGAAGAGGCCAGGGATGGTGTGAACGCCCTGCAATGCTCAGGACACCCCATCGGAAAGAATGATTTGGCCGAAAATGTCAATAGTGTTAAAGTTGAGAAAAACTAATCTAAAAGCAACCTTAGATCAGGGACCAATTCATGGATGCTGATTTGATGTGAAGTTATCCTCTGGTGCAAGAGACCCTCAATACCAAAAGGGGAAAATAACAGAAAAACAGCATCTCCTGAGGAATCAAATCTTTGTAGGAAAACTAAAATTTTAGGTTGGCATCGTTTGTCTGCTTGTAGAAAGTAGCCAACAAACTAATTTTTGAATGTTTATTCTGTACCCAAAGTGAAGACTATATATTAAACAATTTTTCACTCACTGGATTATTTTATTTACTTACTTCTTTTAAAGGCGGTAAAGGAGGTGGAGGAAGAAAAAAGCGCAGATCACTCTCTTTGCTTCGCGCCAAACCAATCAGAGTTCTCAGATCACAGGCTTGAGCAATTGTCCTATACTGGTAATCTATGGTGAAAGTATACCGTTAGCTCCAGACTGGCTTGGAGTTGTTTCAAGGATTAAATGTACAAACTACTTGAAAGCACTCTAATTTAAATTACAAGTCTGTATTTTCCAAATTTTTTTCACAACTACACCAATAAGCTAACTACCCATCATTTCCTTATCTGATTTCACAATTCTCCTCAACATGTATTTGGGTATGTCAGGGTCTAACATTTTTGAAAAGATGAACTTCAAATGTGAAAACTGATAGGTCAGAATCAATTTAACTTCTCCTTAAAAATAATTCTTGCCCTGGCCGGTTTGGCTCAGCAGTTAGAGCATCAGCTCGCAGACCAGAGAGTCCCGGGTTAGGTTCCCACTAAGGACATGTACCTCGGTTGTGGTTTGTCCCTGGCCCCGGCTGGGGTTCTGTGGGTGGCAACCACTCAATGTGTCTCACGTCAGTGTTTCTCCCTCTCATCGATGTTTCTCCCTCTCACTTCCTCCCTTTCTCCCTCCCACTCTAACTGAAGATAAATGCAAAAAAGTGTCCTCGGGTGAGGATAAAAAATAATAATAATTCTAGCATTCAAAAGCTGTTTTGATCGCTATTCCAAAACCTGAGGTTGCATTTAGCTCTACTGTCCCTGGTAACAGTACGATGCCTTCATTCCATTCCCGATGGTGGTACTTTGTGTTAGCCTTCGTGATTTACCACTCCTTTCTTTATGTATTGCCCTAGACTGAATGTTTGTGTCCCCCCAAATCCATATGCTGAAACCTAATCCCCAATGTCATGGTATTTGGAGGAAGGGCCTTTGGGGGTATGATTAGGTCATGATAAAATTAGTGCCCTTATAAAAGAGACCCCACCCCAGAAAGCTGCCGTGTCTCTTCTGCCAGGTGAGGACACAAAGAAAAGACAGCCGGCTATGAACCAGGAAGCAGGTCCTCACCAGACATCGACTCTGCAGACACCTGATCTGGGACTTCCAGCCTCCAGAATTGTGAGAAATACATTTCTGTTGTTTATAAGCCGTCCAGTCCATGGTATTTGTTCTACTGGCTCAAATAGACTAAGAAATGTACCAAAACAAAATTCCAACCACTGAAACAGACACTCTTTTTAATAATGGCAGTTCATAACCTGGGTGAGTTCTTCAAGATCACATGGGGAACTTTTCAAAATATACATGCCAAGGCTCCAAGCCTGATTTTTCTAATACAGTAAGTCTGAAACTGGAGTCCTAGAAGGCAGATTTTGAAAAAGATTTTTACTCTAAGTCTCCATTAACAGTATGAAATGTTTATATTTACATTATAAATTATAATTATAGCCACCAATAAATAAACTAATTAACTTGTATGGAGGTAGAGATCTTATTCTGAGACTCTTCTTTGAGAATGTTATTCTATTTGTTTACCCATTTTGAGATGATGCTTCTCACAAAGTGGACGTTAGTCTTTGTACTAAAATCAGAGCAGATCTTGCTCAAGTATTTTTACTGCGAAACTTGTGGGTTTTAAATACAATTAAGCCCTGGCTGGTTTGGCTCAGCAGTTGGAGCGTCAGCCAGCAGACCAGTGAGTCCTGGGTTCAGTTCCTGCTAAGGGCATGTACCTCAGTTGCAGTCTGTCCCCGGCCCCCGTTGGGGTTGTGTGGGTGGCAACCACTCAATGTGCCTCTCTCGCATCAATGTTTCTCTCTCTCCTTCCCACTCTATCTGAGGATAAATGCAAAAATGTCCTCAGGTGCCCTGGCCGGTTTGGCTCAGCAGTTAGAGCGTCGGCCTGCGGTCCTGAGGGACCCGGGTTCGGTTCCCGCTAAGGGCACGTACCTCGGTTGCAGTTTGTCCCCGGCCCTGGTCGGTTGTGCGGGTGGCAGCCACTCGATGTGTTCCTTTCACATCGATGTTTCTCTCTCTCTCTCTGTTCCTCTCTCTCCCTCCCACTCTACCTGAACAAAAAATGAAAAAAATGTCCTCGGGTGAGGATAAAAAAAAAAAAAAAAAAAAATGTCCTCAGGTGAGAAAAAAAAAAAAAAGTAAATACAATTAAATATTTTAAATACCCCTTACAATGCTATATATCCAAAAATCAAATACTTTTGACTAATTATTAGTATTAGAGCCAACTGTTAAGTGAAAGCAAATATAATTCTATGGTGCAGCAAGCAATGAAAATATATTTCATTAAATAGAAACCACAAGAAAATGTAAACACAACATAAGGCCATAACTATCTGAATCAAAAGTTTCTCTAATCAAATAAAACTTTGTTCTGCTACAAAGTTGTACAATTATATCTACCTGAGCTTTGAGGCTGTTCTTACCAAACATATCTGGTTACCAGACTAGTGGGTTTTCACTGGAGTTTCTTTTTTTAATTTCTGGAAATATTTTCAATATATTTTTAGATTGCCTGAATTACTTTTCTTCTTAAAATCTTATTTCCTTCTCACTCTGGCCTGTTTGGCTCAGCGGTTAGAGTGTCGGCCTGCAGTCCAGAGAGTCCCGGGTTTGGTTCCCACTAAGGGCACGTACCTCGGTTGCAGTTTGTCCCTGACCCCGGTTGGGTCATGCAGGAGGCAGCCACTCAATGTGTCCCTCTCACATCGATGTTTCTCTCTCTCTCTCTCCCTCCCAATCTATCTAAACAACAATGGGAAAATGTCCTTGGGTGAGGATTAAAAAAAAAAATCTTATTCCCTTCTCTTTTATATGAGAAATGGAGAGCGGGCTGGTGGTGTGGCATGCATTCAGGGTCGTTACCATGCCAGCGGCGGGCCTCCGACATGTCCTGCACGGCCTGCAAGCGGGCCCGCCCGTCATCCGACCGACTCCTTCTCAGGAGCAGCCACACAGCACACTCGTGATCTTCCACATCAGCGGCACCGAGAGTGTCTGAAAGAAAGGGGAGGCAACGTGAGTGACGCAAACAGCTGAAACACTTTATCCTCCCATTTATTCAATGTGGTCATTTATAAATATTTGAAATCTATAAATATTTGAAATCTATTTCCAGGTATTGAAAATAACTGATATGTTCATTCTCAGTTCTGTCATATTATGTTTTTATGTTTACTGTGTGTATTATCTATGTGTTTTTATTTTATATACTATGTTGCTTTCACTATGTGGTCTTTTTTTTTCTCTTTTTCCCTAAAAAACTTTTCATTATAAAAAACGTCAAACAACCCTGGCTGGTGTGGCTCGGTTGAGCACTGTCCCATGTACCAAAAAGTTACCAGTTCGATTCCCAATCAGGGCACATATCCAGGTTGCAGTCTCGATCCCCAGTAGGGGGTGTGCAAGAGGCAGTCAATTGATGTTTCTCTCTCACACTGATGTTTCTCTCTCTCTCTCTCCCTTCCTCTATCTCTAAAAAAAATCTTTAAAAAGAGAGATCTGGTCAGCTCTTTTACAGCTAGCTCCACACTGCAGAGTTGCTGGCTGTGAAATTTACATGTCTGATGCAATATTCTCATTATGAGAAAGCATGGAAGAGATTTCTTAACAAATTTTACATTTTGAAGAGGGTATATTTAGTCTCAATATTTATTTACAAATATCTAACAATACATCCTCAGAGATAGAAGGAAAAACCTATTCAGGTATCAAGCCTTAAAAAATTAAATATAGACCAAGAGAATACTGTTACTCAATTCTTCACTGCTCTAGTAGATGTTAGTACATGAAATGGAAAAATACCTTAGGTAGACCACTGAATGACTTTCAGGACACTGATCAGGATTCTCAGTTAAATATTTGACACTTACCAGCAAACGGACCCCGTAGTATCTTAGCTGAGGTTGCCAGCACTCTTCTTACTGCTTTGTGAAGTTCTTTTCTTGCCTGGTAGGTGAGCCCTGAAGCGATTACAAGTTTAAATAACACCAAATATGTACTCTTAATGCCAAGCTCCAATACTTCCAAGAAAAATATAAACTAAACTCCAGGTTTGTTTGTTCTAACTCTTTTTTTAATCCTCACTGAGGACATTTTTCCATTTTTGTTCAGATAGGGTGGGTGTGACAGAGAGGAAGAGACAGAGAGAGAGAGAAACATCAATGTGAAAGAAACACATCGAGTGGCTGCCTCTCACACAACCCCAACCAGGGCTGGGGAGGAATCACAACCAAGGTATGTGCCCTTGACCGGAATCGAACCTGCAAATCATTGGTCCACGGGCCAACGCTCTAACCGCTGAGCTAAACCGGTCAGGGATAAACTCCAGGTTTTTAAAAATATATATATAAAATAGCATCTTTCTGTTTTTACAAACAGAAACAAAACAAAACAAAACAAAACAAAAATAAACACATTAAACCTAACGAAAATTCTCATATACAACACATTCATGAAAATGTTCCTTAAAAATAGTCCCTCTCAAGCCTGGACGGTGTGGCTCAGTGGTTGAGCATCGATCCATGCACCAAGAGGTCACCGGTTCAATTCCTGGTCAGGACACACACCCAGGTTGTGGGCCAAATCCCCAGTGGGGATGCAGGAGGCGGCCAATTGACGTTCTCTCTCATCAATGTTTCTATCTCTCCCTCTCCCTTCCTCTCTCTCTAAAATCAATAAAGAAAATAAATAAATAAAATAGTCCCTCTCAAACTAAAATTTAGAGATGTCACTGAGATTAAGCTTCACTATGTAGGTAAATTATAAACTATAAAAATTATCTGTGTAATTGAAATTATGACACCATAAAAGCATGTTGAAACACAGGAAGGTGAAGTAACAATAAATACCAACAGCTTGTAGAGGGAGCAGTAGAACCTGCCCCACTCAGGGATCACAATGTACTAGCAGGCATGGCTATTCTGGCTGACAGTGCAGGAACATGCAGCTTCGAGTCAAGTGTGTGATTCACCAGACTACCCACGTCTTGATGAAAAGATACTCCTCTGCTCTAAAATTTCAGGTTCACCAAGCAATCATCGGATTACTAGTTAGGTTTCCAAGTGACCTAACTATGGAGCAGAGGCATGTTTTAACCAGTAAAAACAGGTTTTCTAGCCTTTATGACAGATTTTTTTCCCCTCTGTAAATAAGTTTGTATTCATATTTATAAATGCATCTCATTAGTGTGCATAATGAATCCCTTAAATTAGAAATATCTCTGAGTTAAGTGACAAAATCATGTTTTATGTTTGCCAAACTGAGGGCCAGCCTCTGAACCGATGGTCCCCACTCAGGTGTGAAGCCCCAAGTTTAGACTAAAGCAGCTGGCGAGCCTTCACTACCCCTAGTTATAGGAGATCTGCAAACGGGTTAAATATGGATGTCCAAAGTTCGGTCTTCAACTAACTCTTCAGGAACTTGGTTCTCACAGGGTCTGACGATTCTTAGAGTGAGCAGAACCTACCTTATTTATACTGTGTTTTAAATTCAATAACTAGCTTCCATTTTTCACAAAAATGGGATTACTTCATCATAAACTTACCATGATTTTCTCTTTTATCTAAAGAAACTGTGTGTAGATATATATATGACTTCATTTTTTCTCTTTCTACCACTTGAGTATCTAATGTCAAAGACTTCTTCAGGGCCAGAACTTCATATGTAAGAAATAATGAACCTCTTAAAGAGAAACAAAAATTCATCATAAATATATGATCTAAATGTAACACAAAAGTCACTCTTTTATTAAGCTTTAGTTAACTTTTCTTTCTTTTTATTGGGAAACATACATACAGTAATGTGCATATAGCATGTATTACACACACTATATATATATATAAAATATATGTATATAGGTATACATGTTTCAGTTTAATAAATAATAATAAATAGCTACATTACCATATCCAGACACAAAAACAGAACTCTAACAGTAAGTACCCGAGAGCCCAGTGTGTCCCTTCCTAAACCCGACTCACTCTCTGATCTCTATAATTATTATTCTGACCTTATTATAATAGTAGCCTTGCTTTTCTTCAGTGTGCCACCTACACATGCAATCCTTAAACAAGTTCTGTCTGCCTGTAAACTTCACAGGAATGGGATTACACTGTATGTATTCTTCTCTTCAACCGTTTGTGAGATTCATCCACGCTGTGGCATGCATCTGGAGTTCATGCATTTATACTTTCCTGTGGTTGTGATTCATCCCCTCTATGAATATACCACAACTTACTTTTCCATTCGACCACAGATGGGCACTTAGGGAATTTGTAGTTTGGGGCTATTACAAACAACACAGTTACACATCACACCCATGTGCACTACACACGTGTTTATGTTCCTCTAGGGTACACATCTAGAAGCAGAATTACAGACTTCCTGATGGCATATACATTGTCCAACTTCACTAGATAATGCCAAACTGTTGTTCCAAAAAGATTAGTCAATTTGTGCTCAATCACCAACATATGAAAGTTTCTCTTCTCCTAAACTTATACTTAAAGTCGGTTTTTAAATGTGACCTACCACCTTGTTTGTTGTGTACCCCTAGGTGAAGGTTTTTATCCGGAACCAGATGGACCTGCACACTCCCTCTATCCAGACACAAAGGCCGGATTCAGAGCTTAGTAACGTTAGTTATACTGAGCCCTCTCCTGAACTTCCTACCCTAAAGCAAGCAGGTAAGACAGAAAGGCCGACACTGGCTGGCACCAGAGGAGGAAAGAGAAGAGTCCTCTTCTCTCTCGGAGATCTATCTGAGCAGCCAAAACCAGCCAATGTATTCAGTATTTTTATCCTGCTTTCTATGAAAGACAAAATCCTTTACTGAAAATCATGTGATTAATTTCCACTCTATAACAAAGAAACTGCATTACAAAAATGAGTACTCATTTATCTTTGGCCGGGAATAAGTCCAAGGGAAAAATCATCTAAATATGGTTTGCCTGACCTTACAGTATCATAAAGAAATGTATGTATTTGGATAAAATGTCAAATATATCTCCTTTATCATTTTAGCACCTAAGAGCTGATTTTGTACTTATACTTGTAAAAAGGAATATTAACAAAAACTCTAGAGCAGTATTTGGTATGCATTTAACATACATCCCCCCGCCCCCCCAAAAAAAGGGAAAGAAAAGAGAATGAAAATATAATGTTCAGACAGAGAGTTACTCCATTCACTAAGCAAGAGTCTGAAATAGCATGAGATGGGAGATGTCAATCTATTCCTCTTCTCAGTCAGCCTCATTTTCCCTTCATGAGAGCTTTATGGTGATTTACAGGATTTTCAAGAATAATTTTGACTGTAGTCGATTTTTACATTCACCCACTTTAGAACCCGAGACAAGATGTGATTGTAGGTGTGTGAAAGCTGCCTAGTGAGTCCTGCTTGTGCGTGCCAAGTGCCAGGTGGGCAGAATCCAATTGTACATTGGACCAAGAGAAACCAACATCAGAAGGTAAAGTAACCGGAGCGATACGACACTGAAATGATAGAACCAGTGATTAACCAGTGATGAGTCCACCTAATTCCAAAATCTACACCCTTCTCACTCCCCCACGCTACCTGTAAATCACTTCCATTGAGATTTCAAATAATAGAATAATGAAGCCAATCTCACTGTTGACACTTACCCTAAAATAAGTGATCCAGTAAACTTTATTATATTTCCTGTAAAGAAAAAAAGTCAAAGTGTTTCATTTCATTTTAAAAACGTGACAAGAAATAGGCATATTTAGATAAGAAGTTGTTGATATTTTTCCATTAATATAATCAATTTCTATCAACACAAGGTTTACTATCCACAGATACAAACAAATGAACCAATAAGCACTGGGTACAAAGACATAACCTGTATCTCACACTCCTTCTCCCCTTCTCCCACCACTTCTGCCATCCCTGCCCAATCAGCAGAGGCTCTAGTTCCCACTGTGCTGCTGGTACTGCCAGGCCCACAGCGTGTCCACTGAATGCAGGGAGCTAACCTCCCTTCTGACTCCTTCTAGTTCACGACCAATTAAATGAAGGAATAGGGATAATTCTCCCAACCACTACTAAGACTATGTTGAGGGATTGTGTTTGTCTATTGGGGGTACAAAAGGACTCCTTCCATGGTAATTATGTTACAATTGGTGGTTAAGCATGTGGATAGCCCCCTTTTAAATACATGTTACATTCTACAAGTTGACTTGTAATTTCTCTGTTCAGAACTTGGAAAACATTTCTTTCAATATTTTTACAAAAAACCTAGCCCTGGCCAGTTTGGCTCAGTTAAAGCATTGGACCACAGGCCAAAGAGTCGTGGGTTCAATTCTGGTACAAGGCACATACCAAGGTTGCAGTTCAGTCCCCAGCCCTGGTCAGGGTTGTGTGGGAGGCAGCAAGTCTCTATCACATTGATGTTTCTTTCTTTCTCTCTTTCTCTTTCTTTCTCTCTCTCTCTCTCTCTCTCTTCCCCCCTCCCCCCCTTCCCTCTCACTCTAAAGAAATCAATAAAGAAAAAATATTTTAAAAAAAAAAGACATAAACAAATCTCAGATTTATCATGGGTTAGATAAGTTTTTGTGGACCACCCTGGAAACAGGTTACTGTTTCTGTAAGAAAATATTACTGTTGAAACTGTACTCACGGATATCTTTCCAGTATGTGTTGCTTTTTGGAGGAGGAGTTGAGGTTCCTATTCTTCTACAACAGATGACACAATAAGCAGCCAGGGACATTCTGTGTATCAGAACAATTATAACAAATTTAGTTTCACATCTAATTAAAAACATTTCTTTTAATCCTAAGAACATGTCATAGTCACAGTGGATTGTCCACAGAGTTAGATTTTCCAAGACCAGGAAAAAAACTTTTAATTAAAAAAATATATATTTCTCCCTTAAAAACTTATTAGAATCTTTTGCTAGTACTTTGGTTATTCTTCAAACTGTGTCCAATTATGCACAATGATTAGTAGGAAACTGGAAAACACAGGTTATTAATCAGAATATCAATATAGAAATTTGCCCTGGCTGAGTGGTTCACCTGGTTGGAGCATCATCCCATGCACCAAAAGGTTGCAGGTGAGATTCCCAGTCAGGGCACATAGCTAGGTAGGGGCACATATGGGAGGCAATTGATGTTTCTCTCTCACATCAATATTTCCCTCTCTCAAAAATAATAATAATAATATGGGAGGCAATTGATGTTTCTCTCTCACATCAATATTTCTCTCTCAATAATAATAATAATAATTTTAAAAAGAACATCAATATAGCCCTGGCCGGTTTGGCTCAGCGGTGAGAGCGTCGGCCTGCGGTCCTGAGAGACCCGGGTTCGGTTCCCGCTAAGGGCATGTACCTCGGTTGCAGTTTGTCCCCGGCCCTGGTCGGTCGTGCGGGTGGCAGCCACTCGATGTGTTCCTTTCACATCTATGTTTCTCTCTCTCTCTCTCTCTTCCTCTCTCTCCCTCCCACTCTACCTGAACAAAAAAATGGGAAAATGTCCTCAGGTGAGGATAAAAAAAAAAAGGAATATCAATACAGAAAAATTTTTAATTTTAATGTTTTTAAAAATATATATATATATATATATATATATATATATGTGTGTGTGTGTGTGTGTGTGTGTGCGTGTATGTAGATACTCATATTTATCTTCGATGGCTGAAGGCCCTACAGAAATGAAAAGCAACTCTGAGTTAAAGATCTACTTAGGACCCATGGAAGCATTTGGCTTTTCCCCAGCTCCTTCAGGATGGTCCCCAACACTGTTTAAAATCTTTGACACTTGTCCATTGTTGACGCCCTATCAAAGGAGAAATGTTGCTCCACCACTTCACTAAGTAAAGATGATCTAAACACGATGCAACGGTTTCTAGAACAACTCAATATTCTAGAATCACATCAAATTATCTTTGAATGAGACAGTTTTTTTCTTTCTCTTGGGGGATTCACGTGGAAAATGGTACTTTGGTTCAACACATAAAAACCTAGCAGCTTTATAGAGATTAGTGGGAAATGACTTGACATACACGTTACCTGTGAGAGATAACACAGAATAAAAAGCTTTAAAACATTTTCTTTTGATTCCAGTACATCAACTAATGACTTTAAAAAACTAGTTTAAGCAACAGGTAAACTTGTAAAGGTCACTGTTTTAAAGGTCTGTATTCTAGATCTCAATCTTTTCACTTTCATCGGAACCTTGACTCATTATCTGTCTACTTTTCTCTTCTCAATCTTCACACACTTGTCCCCCTAAATACTGGATGCCCAATGTGTCCCCATCAAAACACAAAAACAACTGGAAATAAAAAAAACCTCCGTGGATCCAAGTACCCTCCAGCCACTGCCTCTTCTCTCACTTCCCTTTGTAAGAGTCTTTCTCCAACGTGTCTTCTTCCCAAAACTGAAACAGCACTCCCAGAAGTCACCAGTGACATCTTTGTTGTTAAATCCACTTTTCAGTCATCTTGCTTTGTCTGAAGCATATGACTCTCTCCTTCTCGCCTCCTCTAGCTACTATGCTGTCTTCTAATTTCACTCTCACATTTCTGGCTAATCCATCCCATTATTCATTCCACATACCAGGGGCAGAAACTTGAGCTGTGAAGAAGGCGGAGCAGCAGCTCCTTGCCCTTACTGAGCTTACAGCTGGCTCAGCTGCTGCCATCTGGCCCTTAAATATTAGTGTTCAGGTGGGTTCCACCCGTGTTCCTCTTTCTCATGCTACACTCTCGGGCTGAGTAATTTCACTGTTTTCCTCACAATCACAGACACCGCTAAGTTTATGATTTCCAAATCTCTGTAACTAACCCAGGTCTCTCTGCTAAGCTTCAGACACACATATCCAGCTGCCTAATGCACATTTCCACTTTGAAGCACCACAAACACCTAAAATCCAGAATGTCTAAAGTCAAATCATCATACCATTGAAAATAAATATCCCCAAACCATTTATTACTAGCTAGTTAAGATCTTGGTTTATGAGGAGTTACTTCTAGTCTATTTATGGACAATTTCATTCCACTGGTCAATTTGTCTAACCCTGCCTCAATGCTATAACATGTTTTTAATTCCTCTACCTTTAAAACAAGCCTTGACAGCTTTTAGAGTGAGCACTCCTCACCCCCATTCTTTTCAGGATTATCTCAGCTACTGGGGTTTTTATTGAAACTGAACTGAATTCACAGATTCACTTGGGGAGAACTGATATTATATGGAGTCCAACCATTCATGAAAAGTATATTGCCAAGTCATATTTTAGATCATTTGTAATTTTCTTCACTAAAGTCATGTATGTTTTTGTTTCTTCCTTTCAGGAAAAAATCTCAAATGCATACAAATGCAGACAGAATAATAAAATGAACCCCATCAATCTGCTTCAAAAATTTCAACACATGCCAATCTTGTTTCTTCTATACCTGCTTGATCCAACTGGACTTCTACGTGAGAGACATTTCCTGTATCTGCACCACTAGTACAAAAATGTGCTAGTGTGATTTAGGGGTTAAAAAGTTTTATCTTATTTAGTTTTAATTAACTTTAACCTAAATAGCCACATATGATTAGTGGTTATCGTATTGAACAGTGAGATCTATATCATGACCCATATTCACTTTCCACCACCACCACACTCCATTATTCTGAAGCAAATCCATAATGTCATATCATTCAACTGTAAATGCTTTAGTATATCGCCTAAAAAAAATTCACCACCACCCTAGCCAGTTTTGCTCAGTGGTTAGAGTGTCGGCCTTCAGACCAATGAGTCCCGGATCCCATTCCAGTCACGGGCACGTACCTCAGTTGCAGTTCGTCCCCGGCCCTGGTCGGGTCATGCAGGAGGCAACCAGTCGATGTGTCTCTCTCACACTGGTGTTTTTCTCTCTCCCCCATCTCTCCCTTCCTCCCACTCTATCTGATGATAAATGGAAAAATATCCTCAAGTGAGGATAAAAAAAAAAAACCACCACTATGTCCAAAAGAATAAATAATTACATAATATCACCAATTATCTAATGAATGTTTCAATTATTTCATAAACCTGTTTTGCACTATTGGTTTGTTGGAATCAGGATCTAAACAAGGTCCACACATTGGATTCGGTTGATAATGTGCCTCTTTTTTAGAATCATTATTTCTATAATTACTAGTTTATTCAGATTTTCTTTCTTCTTGAATTAGTTTTGATAACATCTGTTTTTCAAGAAAATGGGCATTTAAGTTTTCAAAATGATTACCATAAAGTTGTACATACTATTCCTATGTTGTTAATCCTCACCCAAAGATATTTTTTCCATTGATTTTTAGAGAGAATGGAAGTGAGGGAGGAAAGGGGGAAGGTGGTAAGGGGTAGAGAGAGTAGGGGGATCAATTAGTTACCTCCTTCCTGAATACGCCCCAAATGCATGCGCCCCAACTGGGCTGGGGATCGAACCTGAAACCCAGGTTCGTGCCCTTGACTGGGAATTGAACCTGCTGACACTCTAACCACTGAGCAACACTGGCCAGGGCTCCTATTTTTATTTATTTTTATTGATCTGAGAGGGAGAGGGAGAGATAGAAACATCAATGAGAGAGAACATCAACTGGCTGCCTCCTGCATGCCCCCCACTGGGGATTTGGCCCACAAGCTGGGCATATGCCCTGATGGAGAATTGAACCAACGACCTCATGGTGCATGGGTCGATGCTCAACCACTAAGCCATACCAGCAGGGCTATGATTTTTAATCCCTAAGATTGTGTACTTTTTTTTTTTATAGCACTGTTTGTTTGTGCCTCTTTTTTTTTACTTTTGCTGTCCTAGAAGTTTACTAGTAGAAAAATGTATTATTATTTTTTTTATCATCTATTTGCTTTGCCTGTGATCTCTACTTTGTTTTGTTTTGTTTTCCATTTTTGTTCTTTAGGTTCACCCTGTCCTTTTCCTAACTTTTTCAATAACGATAAACTAATATAGCATTTTTTGCTCTTCCATAAATTAACTTACAACTATAAATTCCCATCTAAGTTTTGCTTCACCTAAATTTCACAAATCATGATTTTTCCACTGTGATTTCCTCTAAATCCATAGATTGTTTAGGATTGTTTTTAGTTTCCAAACGTATAAAATTTCTAATCTTTTTGTTGTGCTATATGGCATAGATTCTTTGGCATTGTGGCTAGAATTTAGTATATCCATTATATCAGGCTTTTCATTGTGTTAAACGTTTCTATAGCCTTACTAATTTCTGTCTGCACAATCTACCAGTACCTGAGAGAGCCTTTTAAATTTTTTTCGTCTAGGACTTTGCATTTGTCAACTTCCCCTTACAGCTGTCCATTATTTATTTAGATTATTTAATCTAGGGACTCTGAAGGCCATTTCTGACACCATCTAACCAAAGTAGCTCTTCTGATCACACTAGCACACCACCACCACTTGAAACTTTCTTAACTGATTTCAGTGTCTCTCTGCCTTCACTGTAATTAGTTGTCTGTTTACCATTGCAAACCCAGCATCTAGACTAATGTCTAGCATATATTTGGTGCACAAAAATGTTTAATGAATAACTGAATGGAGGTTTTTAAATCCGGATGATTCCGAGAAACTGGAAGAGAAGCAGGTTTGAAGTGAGGATGAAAGATGAGAACCAGTCCAGTTTTAGAGGAGGCCTTTAGGGTACTGACAGGTCATTAATGTGCAGGCCTCAGGACAGCACCTGGAGCACAAGAGTGGCGGGAGGTTCAATGTGATGGAACTGCAGAGATGGCCAAGAAAGAGAATGCATGCAAGAACAAAAAAAGCAAAGAAAAGGTACTTGAGAAGGACTATACTTAGAAGCAGATTAAAGAGAGAGCGCGGGCGCCCACAACAGTGATGGAAACCAACGGGAGGGAAAGGAGTTGAGGAACAGGAAAAGGGAATTAAATGAAGGGCTGGGTTCATAAATCATTTAAATACACGAAGTAAAATACAGCATGAGCTCAACTGGGGAAGTACAATTTAACCTAAGGAACAGAAAGCATGAACCTCATATCTCACTGGTTAAAAAAGAAGAGAAGACTCTGTTATAATACAGACCAGAGTCTAGAGAAGAGATTACTTTTAGAACCTTCTGGGGTCTCTCGGATTAAAATGACCGGTCCTGGGTTTAGAGACCGATCAGCTGGTTGGATGTATTCAACCTCCCGGGTCAGAGCTGGAATGTGAGGTCTGGAAGGTTCCAGTTTGAATGGAGACTGTTTCGTCCTCCCGGTTACCAGCATTTCGTCACTCCCGGATGCGCCCGCGCTGATGGCACCCGCCGTGCTCGTCGGGGCTCGGAGAGGAAGCAGAGAAGGGCGCCGACCGGGAAAGAGTGGGCTGCCACGGCTGCGAGAGAGGCCCTCACGCCCGGCACAGGGTCAGCGGGTCAGTCGAGGGCCGCCCGTCCACGCGGGGGCGCCCCGGCCGCTCCCCAGCCGAGCTCCGGCGCCACCCGCCCAGTAGTCCGCTTTGCCCGGCTTCACTGACGCCCTCGCCCGCCCCCAGGAGCCCGGGCGCCCCGTCCTACCTGCCGGCACATGGACTTGGCCGGCCCGCAGGATCTCACCGAGGATCGGATCAGGAAGGAGACCCCCTTTCCGACTGCGCGGAGCCCGCGCCCTCCACCCCACGGCGGGCGGCACGTAACCCCGCCCCCAGCGCTCCCTGCCCCGCCCCCTCGCTCCTCCCGTCCCCGCCTCCATCCATAATGGGGTCGCCGACGCGATGACGCAACTGGCGCTGCGTACTCTGACGGCGACGCTTGGAGCTGGTGGGCCTGGGGGCGGAGGTATGTGGCGTGTGCTTCCCGGAGCGAGAGGGGAAAGTGGGGTGCGTGGAAGATGGAGGGGTCCCGGAGAAAGAGAGGAGGGGGCGAAGAGACCCAGAACCCTGCCGTCCGGGTGCGGGGGTACATGGTGGGGTCCCGCACCCTCTCCGGGCCCTCTCCGACGAGGCCGGCGGCTAGCCCGCCGTGATTGAACCGTGAATTTCCCGGGAGGGGCCGTTGCCACGCGCCCAGGTGTAGGAGTTTGTTTAAGGGTTAGGTAGCGGGCACTGGGTTGTTTTTCCCTTTTAATGTAGGTCCTTAGGGAACGGCATTTGGTGAATGAACACAAGTCTGGAGACCTGGCTTGTACCCTTTTGGGAAGGGCGGGAGCTGTTGCTTAATCTCTTCCAAGGCTCTAGCTCATCCGCAAAACGAGATGATAGGACTCAATATATAATTTTTAAGGCTCCCTTTAGAGCAACCATTCTGTGATGCCTGCCTCCCGGGATCTTTTTTATCATACCCTTGGATGGAACGATAAATCTTTCGACTAATGTTTAAAAACTGGGTTGGACACACGGTAGTGTAGTTAAGCCTCCTGCTTTCATTAGGACTGACTGGGTAGAATTTGTTTGCAAGTAAGGTTTATACATTAATATTCCAGTAGACTCATTGTGATGTTTTTAAAAGATCAGAATATCTGTATGTTTTCTTAATGTTCGTGCTATGTCTCTCACAGGCTTAGATATTTACTCTTATTTCATATTCTGCCTCATTTCAGAGGTAAATCTCCAAGGTGTATTAATGTTGATGCTTTTTAATTTCATGTCACCTTATTCCTTTTATTAGCATTTTTAAGGTCATCTGCATCTTCTGACTGAGGAAAAGATGGTCAACGTCTTGAAAGGAGTGCTTATAGAATGGTTAGTAGTTTTGATAATTTTTTTAAATTCTTTTTGTTTGTTTTAAGGTAGGAATGAATCAAGTTTTTCAGCTTCTGTGACTTCATCTTTCTTACTTAGGTAACAAGTAGGACAGACTTGTTTCTAAATTTCTTCTTGGTGCCAGATTTCAGTGTCTGTATTGAACTGATGTAATTGACATTATTTCCACCAAGTTTTGGTCAAAGGCAGCATATTTATTAGATTAGCCCTCTTGAGAGGAACAATGCTGGTGTTCTAAAACTGTCAGGGAGCCCAGCTGGTGTGTCTTAGTGGTTGAGCATCGACCCACACACCAAGAGGTCGCCTGTTCGATCTCCGGTCAGGGCACATGCCCAGGTTGTGGGCCTAATCCCCAGTGGGGGGCATACAGGAGGGGGGCCAGTCAATGTTCTCTCTCATCGACCTTTCTTTTTTATTTTTTTATTTTTTTTTATCCTCACCTGAGGACACCTTTCCATTTTTTGTACAGATAGAGTGGGAGGGAGAGAGAGGAAGAGAGAGAGAGAGAGAAACATCGACGTGAAAGGGACACATCGAGTGGCTGCCACCCGCAAAACCGACCAGGGCCAGGGACAAACTGCAACCGAAGTACGTGCCCTTAGCGGAAACCGAACCCGGGTCTCTCTCATCGATGTTACTATCTCTTTCTCTCTCTCCCTTCCTCTCTCTCTCAAAATCAATAAAGAAAAAAATTTTTTACTTAAATAAAACCATCAGGGATTGACTAGAATTATTGTCGGCGGCAAGAAAGGCACCAGGTGTTATACTTGTGGAGTCAGATGGGATCTTGGTTCAGCAACCTCAGTATTTGAGTTCTGGCTAAGAAATAATTCAGAGTCAAGAATCAAACTATAAGAGAATGTTTATAAAGCCATAGAAGTAGCCTGGCTGGTGTGGCTCACTGGAGTGAGTGTCGTCCCATGGACTGAGAGCCCAGTATGATTCCCGGTCGGGGCACATGCCCAGGTTGCAGGCTTGATCCCCATTTGGGGGGTGTGCATGAGTCAGCCAATTGATGTTTCTCTCTCACGTCAGTTTTTCTATCTCTCCCTTCCTCTCTCTCCAAAAAACGATAAAAACATATTTTAAAATCACAGAAGAAGAACTGAGTGGTAGAAGAAATAGGCTCAGGAAACAAATCCCAGAGGCAAAAGAAAGGGAGCCCTTGGAGCTTAGGAGAGAGAAGGGTAAAGATAATGCACCTTGGGGGGCGAGAGAAGGGGGACAGGAGAGGTGCTTTTAGGGGAGTGTGCTGGGTCCTCCCTAAGGACTTTTAAGGGCAGGGATTTTAGAGGAGGTCCCAGGGGAGGATCTAAATAGAGTATTCATCAGTTTTCCAGGTGTGTCCTTTCAGGGTCATAGTCTCCACCGGTTGGCCAGTGCCAGGGCAGAGGATCATTTGTCAGTACAGCTGGTCCTGATGTCAGCCATGGCCTTGCCTGTCTAGTTTTGCTGCTTTTCTGGACCTGGAGCTGACAAACAACTGAAACCTAGATGTTATCCCTAGGGATTAATGCTTAAGGGAATGGGAGTTGCCTGAGGCCACTGATCAGCCCCTTGTTCCTCCCCTCAAGGGGTCTGCCACATGACTAGCAACATGCCAGGGGAGGGTCCTAGCTACATGGCCAGCGATATGAAATGTCAGGGCCTCTAAACTGCATGACCAGCACATGCTAGTAGAGGAAAGGTTACCCCTGAGGTTGAGGTCCTTGTTTTCTCAATTTTGCCCATTGTTAGGCATCCAGGGCCTTCCGCCCTGGTGACCTGTACCTGGCCCATTTTCCTTGCTCTGCTCATGTCTATCTGTCTACTACAGATTTTTAGGGTCTGCATAAGTCTTCACTATCACAAACTATGGTCCAAAAGGGACGGGGTGGGGGGGGGCAAGAAAGCCAATTGAAGGTTCTGAATTCAGCCTGGGCTCTAATGGACCTCTATCACTTTTCTCTTGTAATCCCCATACTAGCAGCATCTGGAGCTTATTAGGAATACAAAATCTCAGACCTCACCCCAGATATACTAAATCAGAATTGTGCATACAGAGGATCTTGTTAAAATGCATTTAAAGTTTGAGAAGCACTTAATCAACTTAATTTTTTTTTTTTTAATTTTTTTTTTTATCCTCATCCAAGGACATTTTTCCATTTTTTATTCAGATAGAGTGGGAGGGAGAGAGAGAGAGAAACATCAATGTGAAAGGGACGCATCGAGTGGCTGCCATCTGCATGACCCAAGCAGAGCTGGGGACAAACTGCAACCGAGATACATGCCCTTAGCGGGAACCGAACCCGGGTCTCTCGGGACCGCAGACCGACGCTCTAACCGCTGACCCAAACCAGCTAGGGCTAATCAACTTAAATTTGATAATCACTTTCTCAATGCAGGATTGTTTTGCATCAGGACTACTTAAATTTTATTTTGTAGATGGCTACTGTCCTTGCAAATGATTTTCTCCTTCAAGGTGAATTCTAAAGTGTGGCCTGCACTATTTTTTAAAAGGGTAACTGTCTTCCCAAAGATAAGTCTTTCAAAAAGATTCCAGAGCTAAGAAATAATATTCAAAAAAAAAGAAATAACAGATTCATGAAGGTCATGGGTAGGGCCAGTGAGTCCTCTTTCACAATCAGGTGCACATGTGATAGTGGTAACTGGAAAAATCCTCAAGCCTGTATCTGATGCCAAAGAGAATATTGTTTGTAATACAGTATTAGCATAAGTTTATTATCTCATACTATCGATAGATTGTGTGAAGCACTGAGGTGTGTTTGAGTACTGAATTCGATCGTTCTGAAGTTTATAGGTAAACCTCTGAAGGATCTCCTAAAACTACTTCCATTGTCTCAGTGATTTCCTCTCCAAATTCTAGTCACATCAGCATACAAGTCATATAGTAGGATAAGTGGTGCTGTTCCGTGTATTCAGTCCAGGCAGCCAGCAGAATACTTCTCAGACATAGACAGGCCTAGTTCAGGAAGGGAGCGTTAATGTGACACCTGTCCTAGAATGGCTTAACTTACTGCAAGATTTAAATTCCACGTTTGTTCATTCCTTTTAATTGATTTTGAGTCTACAGTAAAAAGCAAACCAAAAGTGAACAGTAGCCATTTAGGCCCAACTGCCAGTGAATTGAAAAATTAACATACATGAATATAAGGTTCATTCCTCCCAAGGCTTATCAAATACCAAAAGCTAAAGTTAAATTTGTGATTTTTGTCAAAAATGAGGCTGGTGAAAACATTTTTTTTGTTGATCCACCACTATCAACGGCTAGCCTTACACCAAAATCTAGCTAACCACAGGAATATCGAAGCAAGCAGCATATACCCAACAAAATGGCTGTGTCCAGTTTCAGGTGCTAGAGCAGACCTCGGGTGTGGCAGTTACCACACTTGGTTTGGCAGGTGCTTCAGCGAGGAAGATTGGTTGCAGAGGTGCATAATTCCAACCAGTTGAGAGTACAATAGCAAAGAATCTGGAGTGATGGGCATTGTTAGACCAGACCTATCCTTATAGGTTTGGCTTTTAATCCTGTATTATATATGAGAAGCAAGTAAGAACTAAGGCAAAATCCAGTCTAACTGTTCTGTTGTTTCACAGCATTTATATATCTTGTGAACCTTTGCTATTTTGCAGAGCCATAGTCACTAAGGTTTCCTGGGGAACTCAAAACACTGCCTGAGATGTATATGGAAGGTGCTTAGTAAATATTTGTTTACTGACTTTTGTTAACAGAATTGAGTCAAGGAGTGTAATCTCAGCCTAAATCCCACAGTAATTTTATTTCTAGAAGTTTATCCTAACTAACTAACTAACTAATCTGATCAGAACTACAGATAAAAATGTAGGTAGTTGAATGTGCTGTTAAAACATAAAGTGGTACCCTTTGAGATGACATGGAGGGACTTGGGAGAGTATTATGCTGAGCGAAATAAACCAGTCTGAGAAAGATAAGTATCATGTGATCTCACTTATTTGTGGAATCTAATGAACAGAATAAGTTGACGAACAAAACAGATCCAGAGACATGGAAGTAGGGAACAGACTAATAAACTTCAGAGGAAAGGGGGGTGGAGGAGATAAACCAAAGAACTTATATGCATATATGCATAACCAATGGACATAGGCAACAGTTTGGTGAAGGCAGGGAGGTAGGAGTGGGGAGGATGGTGTCAGTGGGTGAAAAAAGAAGGGACATCTGTAATACTTTCAACAATAAAGATTTTTTAAAAAACAAAGGGTTGATTATAATGTAGTTTTATAGTCAAATAATATAGCTATTAAAATATTTGAAAGCATTTAAAGTGATATGGGACAACGGTATTCTGTAATACAACGTTAAATAAAAAGGGCTGGATTCCTTTTTTTTTTTTATCCTCACCCGAGGATATTTTTCCATTTTTTGTACAGATCGAGTGGGAGGGAGAGAGAAGAAGGGAGAGAGAGACAGAAACATCGACGTGAAGGGACACATCGACGTGAAGGGACACATCGAGTGGCTGCCACCCGCATGACCAACCAGGGCCGGGGACAAACTGCAACCGAGGTACGTGCCCTTAGCGGGAACCGAACCCGGGTCTCTCCAGACCGCAGGCCGACACTCTAACCGCTGAGCCAAACCGGCCAGGGCAGGGCTGGATTCCTTTAATAACACTAAGCGTTTACCAGATACTATACAAAGTACTTGGTGATAATCAGTTCTCACAACAGCCCTATGATATACAGGTGTTATCATTCTCATTTTATTTATGCAGAAATTTAGGCACAGAAAAATTAATCAGCTTGCTCAGTGTTACACAGTTACTAAACTGGGATTTTTTTTTTTTTTTTTTTTTTTTTTTCAATATGATAAGTCTTTATTCATTCATTTTATTTTCCCAGGGTAAAGGGGAAGGGGAAAAGTCAGCATGTGTTTCAAAAAATGATAGAGAGCAAGTGGAAGTACCCGGCACTGCAAAATCAACCATCCAATGAACAGTCCC